GCTAAGGAGTGTGTAACAACTCACCTGCCGAATCAGCTAGCCCTGAAAGTGGATGGCGCCGGAGCCGGTGACCCACCAGAGAGGGTCAGGAGCGGGGGTGGGGAGCGGGGGTGAGGGTGGGATGGATAAAACAAAAAAAGAAAAAAGAATAATTTTAAAAAATAATAAAATGTCAGCATTTATAATACATTGGGAAATTACATCATTTGCAATGGTGTAAATTTAGTATGAAAAATGGAGAGTCCACTTAAAAATATACAACTGAGTAAACCGGGAGGGGTTCCCACCCCCTGATTTTTTTAAGGTGGGTGTGAGCAAAAAAGTGTGGAAATCACGACTCAGAGGAGAGCCCTTCAAAAGCCGACCAGAGCAGGATGAGCTCATTTCCCTGCAGTCTCTTCAATGTAGAGCTGAGATTTGTGTTTGTTTGTTTTAAGGCCCAGGGATGATATTTGGGCTGAGTGAGTGTCAGCTGAGAACACATGGGCTAAGAGCAGTTGGAGGTCAAGGCCACCCTGCTCTGGGCAAGCCTGGCACTCTGGCAGCACGGGTGGACCACAGGCCAGGCGCACCCCCGAAATGGGGGGAGCTCACGGAGGTCCCAGCTCCGCTAGGCCGGGCTGGAGCCTCACCCCACTCCTGCCACAGTGGGGGCAAGACACTAAGGTTTGCCAGAGGGCAGTGAGGCCCATGTTGGGAAGGTAACCGGTGAAGGCCATACGTACCCCCAAAATCCGTCTCTGCAAGAGCACCAACAGCCACAAATGGGCACTATTCCTAAGTGCTGCCTTACTCCTTGCCAGCCACTGGCCGAAGTGCTTTCTGTGTCTAAACCTCCAACTGCCTCCTGAGTAAGGAGTGAGGGGACCCGGGCAGCCTGACTCCAAGCCAGGTCGTGTTTGAGGCGCAGGTGCGAACACAGACACGTTCTAGACCCGGAAGCGCTGACTGGACGCTTCGCTCTTCTGCTTCCAACTCTCTGATCTTGGTTAGACATTAAACCTCTCTGACCCTATCTTTTCATCTGCAAGATGGTTCCTAAGAGCTACCCTACTGGGGGCGCTTGGGTGGCTCAGTCGGTTAAGCGTCTGCCTTCGGCTCAGGTCATGATCCCAGGGTCCTGGGATCGAGCCCCGTGTCGGGCCCTCTGCTCAGCGGGGAGTCTGCTTCTCCCTCTGCCTCTCCCCCTGCTTGTGCTCTGTCTCTCTCTCTTTCAAATAAATAAATAAAATCTTTTAAAAAAAAGAGCTACTCTACTGGACCTTCAGGCCCCAAATCTTTCCGGGCAGTGATGACTGCTCTGGGCCCAGAAAGGACTCTGCTATCATCAGAAGAGTTTGTGCCTAAATTTAGAAGGCTGAAATCTCTATTTTGAAGTGTCAGACAAGAGGACATAGGACAACCGCCCACCCTGACCTCCTCGGCTGTTCTGGTTGGCTCTGCTTAGAGCACAGTCTGCTGTTGTCCATGCCTGGGCGTCCCCAGATGCCACTTGGGGCCTGAGCAAACTTTCGTCCTGAACCCCAAATATCATAGCAGCTGCCCCAGGGCTAGGAGCCATCCCGACGATCCCCCAGTGGCCTCTTCTGGACATTTATGGTGAGTGGGCAGGAGCTGTGGGGCCTGTCTTAGAGAAGTCAGGGCGTGGTGGGGCGGTGGAGTCAGAACTCAGAGGCCTGGGTCTCCCACCTGCAAAACCACCTACTCAGTCAACTCGGGGAGCTGGCTTAACCTCTCTGAGCCTCATTTATTCACTCTGCTGTGCCCAGCCTTGCCCTGGCCAGTGCAATGGAGATTTGGGGATGAGTCCAAAAGGCCCTTCCTTCCAGACACTCCCAGTTTCATGGGAGAGGCAGCCAAGGAAACAGACAGTAACAGGCCCTGTGCTGGGGCATCAGGAGGACCTCCTGGAGGAGGTGAGGTCTGGGCACCATGTTCCTCTTCTGTTGATTGAGAGACGCACACTTTTTTATTTCAGAGTATAGTTTTATTGTGAACTGCTTTGTTATAAACGTAATACGCGCTCCTGGTGAAAATTTTCAAGAGAACAGAACGGTAATAAGTGAAAAGGATCCCTGGCTCATCCCCAGAAGGAACTAACTATTGTCCACAGTATCTCGTGTAGCCTTCCAGAAATGTTCTCTGTGCATGGAAACCCGTGCGGGCAAAGCATAGAAGCCCGAATCAATGGTCACAACGGGCCCCACTTGTCGAGCGTTTACTAGGTGCCCACTGACGGTGTTTGCTGGCAACATCTCTTGGACATATTTCTATGTCCACAATCAGCTTTCCCAGATACTGCACGAGGAGCCTGCAGAGTTGTAGGGAGCACAGGAATAGGCATTTCCCACCGCCTTGGTTAGAGTCGGCCCGGCTCTCGCTGGAACTTCTCTGTGGTTGAGTTGCTGTGTCCTTAGTTTCCAGGTGGGGAAACTGCAGCTCAGAATATCGAAGTGGGATGCTAAGGCCACATGGTAGCCAGAGGCGATTCCATGCCATGAATCACCGTGTGAGGCTCTGGGGCCCGCGGGAGGCCACGCCGTCCTCAAGTCCTAGCTTCTGGGAGGATAAATATAACCCTGGCAAGCCAAAGTCCGGTGTCGAAAGCAGAGGCTTAACCTGAAAGTTCAGGCCGCTGGCCAGCGCTCACCCGGGTGCTCCCACGGGGCCAGGGCTGTCCCCAGCTAATGCATGCGGCAATTTTGACCCTGTGATTCCACTTCTGGGAGGCGGCGTCATGGGGATGGGTGCAAACCTTGGTGAGAAAAGGGTTCTGTAGTGTGGTCTTCAGTGGACCCAGGAGGAGAAGCGTTTCAGCTACTTTGAATGTTTTGTTTTGTTTTTTTAAGATTTTATTTATGTATTTGACACAGAGAGAGATAGCCTGAGACAGAGAGAGCACAAGCAGGGGGAGCTGCAGGACGAGGGAGAAGCAGGCTCCTCACTGACCAATGTGGGGCTCGATCCCAGGACCCTGGGACCATGACCTGGGCTGAAGGCAGATGCTTAACGACTGAGCCACCCAGCCGCCCCTCCTTTTTTTTTTTTTTAAATTGAAGTGAAATTCATGATCAAAAAATCAACTGTTTTCTTTTGTTTTGTTTTTTTAGAGAGGGCACACAGGCGTGGAGGGGCGCATGGGGGAGAGGCAGAGGGAGAGAGAGAGAGAGAGCATCTCAAGCAGGCTCTGGGCAGAGAGCCCGACACGGGCCGGATCCCACGACCCCAAGATCATGACTGGAGCCCAAATCAAGAGTCAGATGCTCAACCAACAGAGCCACCCAGGCGCCCCCCAAAATCAACTATTTTAAAATGTACAACACACTGGCATTTAGTACATTTACAATATTGTTTAACCACTACTTATATGGAGTTCTAAAGTATTTCCATCACCCCTAAAGGTGTCCCCGTCAGAGCCCCGTCCCTTGCTATGGCTGAGTGACCTTCCCCCTGCCAGATAGAAAAGACCGCATTGTGTTTATTTATTTTTCTAGCTGCGGACATTTGGGCTGTTTCCACCTCTGAGCTCTTGTTCATGCGTTGTTATGCCACTCGACCTACGTCAGCTTCACCTGTGACGTCTGCAAAATGGGGACAAGGGAAGGACCTACCTCGTGGGGTTGCTGGGAGGCTGAGTGGATTATAGATGTGAGGCCCTGACTGGGTGCCTGGCCAGAGCTCCATTGTTGATTCTGTTGGGTGTTTGCTCACAATTGGACATTTACTGAGCACTTACTGTGTACCCTTTTAAGCCCTATACCTGCATTAACTCATTTATTCCAATGTTTTCCCTTCATTGATTAATTTCTCCAGCAACTCTGTGGGGGTAGGCCCCACTGGTCAAGTCTGCTTTATAGAAAGCCGGGGCCCTGAGAGGTCGGCTCAGGAGTGGCCCATGGAAGCAGGACTTGAACCAGCCCACCTGACCCTGAAGCCCGTGTTCTTAATGCCTTTGCTGGTCTACACTCTCGGGGTTATTTACACAGCCATCCACAGGGATGTCTGTGGTCGTCACCTCTGGACTGGGGACTGTGGGGGATTTTCGCCTTCTTTCTCCCCTGGACTGTCTTTCTCACATTTCTGTCATTGTTTGTTTTTACAATGAACAAATAATAATTTTGTAATCAGAAAGAAACAGTAAGGATGACTTTAGATCATAACACATATGTTAAGTGAAAAGAGCCGAACACAAAATCTCAGGTACAGCTTGATCCCCACAGGTCAAAATGTGTACAGAAACCCCCCCAGGGGACTGTTCCCCCAACGTACTAATAAGGTTTGCTGAGCCTGATGGGGTGATTGTGATGTTTGGTCTAAGTTTGCTGTGTTTCTAGCTTTTCCAGCTGTATTTTGACAACAGACAAGTATCACTTTTATATTTGGAGAGAGATCCTAAAAACAGAAGACCCACCTTCCCAGCTAGGACCCCTGGGTGTCTCTGCCTTGGGCCGGCTGGTCAGGTGCGTCTGGTCTGCTGACAGGCCAGGAAGCTCATGTGAAGTTGCCAGATGGGAGGTTCCTGCACCAAGGGACTGGCCCAGGGCTTGCTGGCCGGACACCGCCGTTTGGCATTCCATCACCATCCAGAGACACAGAGACACAGACAGGACACTCCAGCCTCAGGGACTCCAGTGCCTGGACCGGGGCCACCTCAGCCTTGGACGTCCTGCCCAGCTACCTCCCCTTCCACCTGGAATTCCTGCCCCCCTCATCCCCCCAGGGTGTGCTTCCCAGATCCTCAAGCTCCCTCTGGTGCAATCAGCAGGGCCCAGTGGCACATGAAAAAGGGCCACCGGTGATTAAAATTAAGTGTTGGTCCTGGCTGGTTTTGTGTGTTGTCAGGTGCCCCCCCACCCCAGCCCCACCAAGTGGACAACTCTGTAGCTCCTTCTCCCTCTGCCTGACGCACACTTGAGTCTAGGCCCCGGAGCCCTCCCTGGCCCCGGTTCAAAGTGATCTCGAGCACCAGGAAAAGCAGTGGTCAAGCCTCCCTGGACAGGGCTGTGCTGTAGCCAGGATGACCAGTGAGAAGGCTGAACCCATGACCACAACATGCAGGGGCAGAAGGGCTGGGCCAGCTCCATCTGGGGGATGCCATTCCGCAAGGCTGTGACAGATGGGTGGGAGTTTGACGAAATGAGCTGGGAGGAGAAAGATTTCTCAGCCAAGGAAGGGCAGGGAGGGCAGAGGACGCCGCCTCTGACCCCATGGCCACCTCTGCCTTGGCAGGACACCCAGGCGAGCCCAGCCCTGCCCCAACAGCCCCTGCCAGGAAAACAGGTCAGAGCAGGACGGACCCTGGTGGCATTGCATGCAAGCTGGGCTGGGACACACGGCTTGAGCCGAGGAGGGTGGGTGGCCTGGGCTGGCCCCTCGGCCTCCCTGGGGCCATCGCTCCCGCCAGGACACCCAGGCCGCCCAGCGAGGTGTAGGGCAGTCACCGCCAGCTAGCAGGGCGGGAGGGCTGCCCCCCTGCCCAGACCACAGGATGGGTGGGAGCCCTGTCCCCACCCAGCTGTCCTGACACAGCTCCACCCAGGATGTAGGCCCAGGCTCCCGTGGACTGGATGTGCCCCTTAGCAGGACGAGGGACCTGGCCAAGGCAACCACGCTGAGCCTCAGTGTCCCCATCGGTAAATGAGGATGAGTTCTTCCCTCGCAGCTCTCCAGCACATCCCGTGAGATACTGTTGGAAAAAGTGCATTTAAACGTTGGAAGCTCGTTCGCACTGGATCGTTGTTACTGTTGCTACCATTACTATGACTGTATTTTTAGTGGTGACTATTATTATGGGAGAACACCCAAGAAGAAGACCGATCTGGTTTTGATTCCAGCTCCACTGTGGGTAGCTACAGATCGGGGCAGATCACTTTTTTGAACCTCCGTTTCCCATCTGTAATCACCTAGGAAGGGTGTGTCCCGGGGCTCTGCAGTGGGGGGTGGCCAGCCTCCGGGAAAGGCCAAGGTCAGTCCAGAAGGGCAAGGCTCAGCGGGGGCAGCTCCGAAGAAGCGGCGTCCTCTTGGACCAACCCCAGGCCACCGCCCGGGTCTCCGGGTGCGTCCCAGCCCGCGGCTGACCCCACCGTCCCACCCGGCCTACAGTGCTAACTCTCACAACCCCCCAGCCACAAACGAGCCCTGGCGGTTCATGAGGCATCTCGCCTAGAGGGTGCGGCCACCCCCTTATCCAAATAGCGCCACTGAGCTGCTGCTGGGGGAGGCCCCGAGCTGGGCACGGAGCCCACGTGAGCAGAGGGCCAGCGGAGACAGACGACAGCCACAACCAGCCAGCCAGCCAAGCAGCATCTCCACCAACATGCAGGTTCCAGGGCCTGGGACTTGGGGAGGGTCAGGCAAGGCTTTGAGCAGGCGGCCTTTGGCTGAGCCTTGGAGGGGCCCACGGCCTGGCTTCTACCGCTCCCACCACTTCGTAAGTCCGGGCTGGTTCTTGGCTCCTGTGCCTGATACATGCCCGGGGCTTCATAGGGCCTGGCGAGTGCACACGGAATGAGTGAATAAAGGCAGGAATGAATGAATGAGGGACACAAGGCGGGGGGATATTGTATTATCTTTATATCAGACTCCGAATTTTCTCAGCGAAAGAACACAACTCTGTGAAATTACTTAGTTGAGCCTCTTAGGGTAGTAATGGAAGCATGGGAAGGTTTGGGGACTGAAGAGTGCCCCACCCCCCATCCTTCTCCTCCAGGAGGTGAGTAGGGCTCTCCCCAGCCGAGACTGCCCAAGGGCCGGGAAGTCCTGATGGTCAGAGCCCTTGCTGTACTGTGTGGCCTCAGGCCATCCAGTGACCTGTCTGGGCCTCGGTCTTCTCATCTGTGAAATGGGATCGTGACTGCAGTGCATACAGGACTGTGTCAGGATGGGAGGGTTAGCGGGCAGCAAGGCTGTGCTCCGAAGGGATCGCTAGCCTGCTTCCTGCTCTCCGGAGCCCCCACCGGCCGTGGGGGGTGGGTTCCGTGGAGAGCCAGAGCAGGCAGCTCTCTTCATTCATGCTCCTGGGCATCCTGTTGCCGGCCGTGCTGGCTGCTGGCCCCCCCTTTAATGATCAGGTCTGTCCCCACACCCTGGTGTGACTCTGTCTGCCTGTACGCATTCATTTAGGCCCCATAAAACAGGGTGACAACGAGCCACGTCAGAGCTGAGCAGAGAAGGCGTTCCAGGGGCCTCCCAATGCAAACAGACACCCAGGAGGGCGGTCTGGAGCTCTTGGGGGCAGCTGGGCTGTGTCTGCTAGAAAAACCTGGCAGGGCCTGGGCCAACCCTCCTTAGACAGTAGGTGAAGGAGGGAGACAGACAGAGACTGAGACAGAGAGGCAGAGGGAAGAGGACAGGGAGAGAAAGCGCTTGAAAGGACCGGAGACAGGGAGTCGGGAGGGTGGGAAGGAGAGAGGTCGTGAGGGCAGGTGGGCAGGGAGGGGGATCTTCTGAGGGGCAGCCTGGGCAGAACAGCTCAGATGCGGGGAAAGTGCACAGGAGCCAGGGTGGGCCCCGGAGGGGTGTGTGGCCCACCTGGAAGGCCCCCTGCAGCCCACCCGCAGCTGCCTCCTCCCTGTTCCCAGCCAGGGCCAATCCACGCACGCGGCCTCGTTCCCGGGCGAACAGCAGTGCCTGGCGACAAAACTTCACGTACACACCAACACACAGCACCCTCACACACACGCACCATCACTGACCGACGCTCACAACTGCTCACGTTCCCGTGGGCTCCGGGCCAGGTGCACGCGTGGTCGGCACCACCCAGGGCCTCCAGCTGCAGGGGGGGGCACGGACAGACCGGGGACCTGCTTCCCCAGGCTGCCGGTGTCCTGGGCCCACAGAGTCCCCAGAAGTAACCGGTGGGGTCCTCGTGATGTGGGAAACAAAGGCAGAAGGAAATGTAGATCAAATTAAGTCCTTCTGACTTGCAACCCACTGACAAATACTTGAGGCAGGCAGAGTATAAAGTTCCTCCAGGAAGCTCCCAACTGTCTTCATGTTAATGCCTCACGAGAGGGAAAAACAGCCTGAACTTGACAATGGCAAGGCCTCCATTATCTTGCAGGTCCTCTTTAACTTATGCAAGTTCTTTTGAAAACCTCCCTTTTTCCTTAGCCCCAGCTCCCACGTATCTGATCAGCCAGCCCTCCCAACCCTGGGGCAGCAGCTCTTTCTGCCCAGGGGTCCTGTCCCCTTGCACCAAAGACCTGTCAAGCATTCTTTCTTGGCCATCGACTCCGGACCCCATCAACCTCACCAACATCCAAAAATGACATCACTGGAGCCTCCGGGAGCTTCACTGGGGACTCCACAGCCCTTCTTCAGAGCTACTTCTGCCCACCCTGCATTCATTCCACAACCCAGACGACAGCTGGGGCCCCTCGCCTGGAGACCCCCTACGAGGGGTTTCTCTGTCCTGGGCCCACTATCCCGCTGCTCCTCATTGGTCCTCGTGGGACACTCAGCTTCTTATTCTCATTGCACACCTCAGATCCACTGCTAACCAGCAGTGTGAACACAGCAGAGCTTCGGGAATGGGGAGACGGGGACCCAGAAGGGAGCTTCACGGGTCAGCAGCACAGACATCTAGAAAGGAGCAGAACCATCACGCATGCAGAAAACATCCGGATGTGGACGGCCACCGTGGTGGGCAGCAGCTGAGGTTGGTGCCTGGCCCGCCTGCCTCTACCTTCCTCCAAGTCCAGGGCAGATCTGAAGGGCGGGACCGCCCCCACCCCAGCAGCCCTCCACCAAGCAGGGCTCATTGGACAAGTGAGCTCTCTGCCTTCCGTTCTGACCCACCCACCTCTGCGGAGATAGATTCGGAGCACTTATAAAACCCCCGGGAGCAGAACCAGCTCATGATGCCCAGTCAGGCCACGCCAAGATGGTCACAGGATACCTTAAGGTTGTCAATTTTTATAATCGTAAACCTTTTTCGTAACTTTACTTTTTAAATTGCAGTTTCTATTGAGATGTAACATAAAATCTCAATAGCATAAAACCTGTCATTTAAAAATATACAATCCAAGGGCACCTGGGTGGCTCAGTTGGTTAAGCGCCCGATTCTTAATTTCAGCTCAGGTCATGGTCTCAAGGTCGTGAGATCGAGCCTGGCGTCGAGTGCTACACACTGGGCGTGGAGTTGGCTTAGGATTAGCTCTCTCCCTCTCCCTCTGCCCCATCTCTAAAAAAAATTAAATAATAAAATGAAGTATACAATCCAGTGGCTTTTAGTACATTCACAATGTTCTGCAACTGATGTACTTTTTGAATAAAGGTGAGGTCCGGAGCTGATGGCCAAGTTCTTACGACATCTTTGGTGCAAAATGGCAGGTTTATTAAAGCACGGGGACAGGACCCCTGCGCAGAAAGAGCTGCTGCCCCAGGGTTGGGAGGGCTGGCTGATTAGATACTTGGGAGTTGGGGGTAAGGAAAAAGGGAGGTTTTCAAAAGAACTTTCATATGCTAATTTTTTTTTTTTTTTAAGATTTTATTTATTTATTTGACAGAGAGAGACACAGCGAGAGAGGGAACACAAGCAGGGGGAGTGGGAGAGGGAGAAGCAG